CTTTCCAAATCCAAAGGAGAAGTTCTGCTTATAAAGTATTTTTATTTAACCTCCTGCCCTCACCCATAAAGTCTTAACAAGCTCTCAGGGGCAACTTTTCATGTCTGCTGAGTAACTCCAGCATGTTCCCAGAGGATTTGGGGACATGCTGGGTACAAAATCAATCCCCAATTAGAGTAGGCAGGTCATTAGGAACCCCCATTTGTGCAAGCACATGCTCTTCTTCTAGTGCATTTATATCCCCCCTTTTTTTCCTCTTGTAAAGTGGCTTGCAGAGTCCTCCTCCCTCCAGTCCATCTCATCCTGCACCAGCCACCCTGTGAGGTGGCTTTGGCTAAGGCTGAGGGACTGGCCCAAGGTCACCCCTGAACTACATGCCCGAGTGGGGACTGGAACTTGTCTCTGCCAGGTCCCCCATGAACACGCTAACCACCACACCGGCCCTCCACTAGGAGGAACCTCCCGCTGGCCAATGGCTGTGCTCTGCACATGGAGGACCAACGGTGGTGGGAAACCTCCTTCTTCCTTGAGTCGTGGTTTGAAACCCATAATCATACTTGATGGATACATATAAAAAAATTAACAGCCAAGTATGATTCTCTGGGGAGAAGGATAGTGTAGGCTTCCTTCAGCTCCCTGGAAGTGAATAATGAATTCATCCTACCCTTAAAAGAATCTATACAAATGTAATACAGCATTATGGTTTTGGAAATACTTGCTAGGAATAAACAGAGGAAAGTGATGTAAAACAAACCATTTGAGATGTTATTTCATTTTAAGTTTATTTACCCTACCCCAGCGTCCCAGATCCAATGATGCCCACCTACTGATGCCCCGTAAGATCTCATTAATCAGCTTACTCAGATTTAAGGCAATCACTACATCTGGAGAGAAGTATTCCCAAGTATGTCCGGAAGAGTCATCCTGAATCAGACTGTGGGTCTGTGTGGTCCAGCATCCGGCTCACACTGTGGCCAACCATCTGCTCACAGGGTCCCAAAGCAGGACACATGGGTGCATTGCCTCTGGCAGAAGCAGCATAAGGGCATCGGGATTTTCAGGGGCTCTTAGCTTAGCTTCCCACACCATGAATCTGTCCAATCCCCTTTCAATTGGTGACCATCACTACATCTAATGGAAGTGAACTGCATACGCGTGAAGAAGTACTCCTTTGTTATCTGCCCCAAATCTCTCCTCAACCAGCTTCATGGGATGATCTGTAGATAGTAATGATTTTTTTTTATCGCAAAATGTATCACATTACCTGTTCCCAAAAGGAGGCAGTCACTGGGTATTACCAAAATGTATGAGTGAGAGAAATGTTAACTGCATGCCACCTCCAACAACTGGTCAGTTTAGATAAACACTTACTGAAACGATGTTGCATTGTTCAGTATATTCAAAACATCAGTTTTTGCTGAATTAAATGTAACTTAAGAACCATTACCCCTTTTGAAATAGATGCGAACAAAGCAATCCGTTGATGGAGAGAACAGGTACTCTAGTTCTTGTTAAAGACCTGTGCATCATATTTGTTCACCAATAACATATACTTATAGATGTGGATTGTGGGCTGTACAGCTGTTTTACCTTAATGCTTCCAAAGTGGGCTCTGAACCTGCAAAAATGGCAGGGCTAAACCTAGATTTCCACAGATGTTTCAGCTGCATGTGTTGCCATTCAGTGGCAGCTTGCAATTCTTATGTAGCACACAAAACAGAAAATGGCAGGAAGTTATCATTAGAGCTGACAAGCTGATCCAAAGTAAAAATCAGCCTATTTGTCCAAGTCCTCCAAACAATTATTTTCTTGCCAACATTTAAATTTCGGTTTTAGCAATGTGAAATGGAGTGCCACACCTTTCTTACTGTTTCAAGTGTAGGGGGAGCCCTATCAGTTTCAGTATATCAAGATCCCAATCGATTGCAAAATGTGACACTTGCAAAACTGAACAGGGGGAAATGTCTAATTGGAGCAGGGAAGACCAAAATTTAGAACAAGTCAACAAATAGCTCCAATGATATAAAGAGAGCTCAAGGAAATCAAACCAACACTCTGATTAAAAGTTGCATCCTTTTCAAAAGTATTCATGGTAGAGTGCCAACCCACAGAAATTGACAGAACGAAGCAAATGCCAATATTCACTGATGTGGGCATGGTAATTTAAATTTAAGTTTTATGTGGATTACTTTTTACTGTTTATCTTGGGATTCTAGTCATCTTTTCCAATTTTGATGCAGAAGATTAATAATTTTGAATGTTCCTGTGAAGTGAGCTAGCTTGGTTTAGGGATTACTGAAATCAAAGCCTACCCAGACCTTAAGATCACCCACTGAAGTTCTTCCCCGGGAGCCACTTTTAAAGGATGTAAGGAAGGAGGCCACCAGGCCAAGGGCCTTTTTAGTTGTGGTGCCCCGACTGTGGAATCAGCTCCTCACAGAGGTGTGCCAGGTGCCAAGTCTTTAGGATTTTTGGTGCCAGGCTAAACCTCTTTATTTTCCCCAGTATTTTAATTGTTAAATAAGAAAAATGCAATTTTATATTGTATTCTGTACTGTCATTGGATCACTATGGATTGTTTATTGTCTATTATTTATCTATTTATGTATTTTATTCTAATTGGTTTGAGACTGGTGTGTCTACACCTATGTATACGATGTTGTATTTTTTAAGTGTATTGGGTCTTCTTTTAATTTTTATTGTAAACTGTTCAGAGACCTATTTGGATAATGTACATGGTATATAAAAGCTTTAAAAATAAATAGATAGATAGATAGATGCAGTGCCTTTGGGATTGGTACTCTCGATATGTGCTTGCAGCTGTGCTCCAGTGGCTCAACCTGTATATTAAAAAAGCACACTAAAAACAGATTATTATAGACACATTAGAAGTCTCCAGGGCTCTTTCCTCCAAAGGGGCTTGGCCTTTAAATGGCTGCCTTAAATATCCCAAGGTATTACTCACTCTTGAAATTTCTCCTGTTTTCTGTTTCTTCTGCTGCTGCTTCTATGCCCAGGAGGTTCTGGAACATTTGCAAAGGACAAAATGGAAACAAAATATGCAATTTGTTCTTCAGATGCTTGCAATGTGTCACAAAGCATCCTGCATAAAAAAGAAAGTATGCAGACTACCTGCAAAAGCATGGAGGGTACCCTTCTCTGCTTCCAAATGGATTTTAGATGACTACAAACAAGACTGAGCTGCAGTCTTTGGAAATAGGTTCTACTGAAGATAATGAAATGGACTATAAGAACTGGTCAATCTAATCTAGCAGTCCATTTTTTTCACAGGTCACTCAAACAATTGGGAAGTTTACCAGCAAAATATGGATGGATGGCTCTCCCTCTGTTCTGTGTTACCAGCACCTGATATTCAAAGGCACACTGTATTATGCAAATATGTAAAGAATCAGGGGTGCCAGCTCTGGGGACATTTAAGTGTAACATTTGTTCAGCTCAAAAAGAAGCAGCATTGCAGATTATGTTAATCAAATTTTGATTAAACATGTATATACTGCTTCATAAATAAAAATGCTCAAAACAGTCTTCAAAACACAACAATTCACTGAACGCCAGGCTGGGGCATACTGGGAGTTGTAGGACTATTTTCTGTATTGACTGGCATAGCACTGCATCTCTAAAAGCAAATTACAGGTTAAAGCCATATAAAAAGCCCATACAGGTGACTGGCCTGCATCTTTTTTAACCAACCTACTGGGGACCGGTGGAGAGCTGCAGCTATTCTGGTACACAGAAGGGAATACCTTTCTCTGGTAGCTTACTTGGTTTCTGTGGTGGGCACAGAAAGGGGATAACACATGGTATCTCTTATTGGCCTACCTTCTCACCTGCCTGCATACAATCCTGATCACCTATGGAGACCAGGCTGGTGATTAAATCAAACTGTAACCAAAGTCCAAGGGCTCAAATCCAAATTTAGGGTGGGGGTGGTATTTCGCCAGGATTTATGCCAGGATTTACTTTGACCCTTGGTTAGCTTGCTTCTAATTTTAAAGTAGTGATTTTGTTTTAACTTTCCATGTCAACCCTAGTAGAATACCCTCTTGGAGGGGAGGAAATGAAGCAGGATCATTAAGACGAGGGAAAAGATAGGACATGGGAGAGAGGGTATATCTGGGGGAGGTGAAATACAGGAAAAGGAGACTGAATTTTGATAGGGTTATTTCTATGGAGATTTTTAATTCCATTTGATGATTTGTTTATACAAGTGGGATCTGCAACAAAATGTTGCAGTATGAAGTGCTTCTGTTCAACATTCTAACCAACCAGCTGTACTTTTTTCCACAGTGCCCTATTCCAGTCTTTTCCACACCTAGTGTTCTCCTCTCAAAGTCAGCTTTCTGACCTCACAGGTGGTGCTATGTTACCTACAAAAGGATCCAGAGAGCATAAGAATGCAATCCTATGCATTTCTTTCTCTGTAAACATACAACTCCCTACACTTCCCGGCATGCCCCAGCCAGCACCCTAGCATGGGAGAAATCCATGCACCTACAGTATCTGGCTGGAGAGATCCTGGGAGTTGTGAGATTTTTCCTCTCTAAACATGCAGAAGACTGAACTCCAAAAGAGTGGTGCAGATCCAGGTGCTCCAATCCAGATTGGGCCCTCGGGATTCACTCTAGAGTAAAACAAAACAAAACCAGACGTCCTACCTGCCAAGAACACATTTGAACTAGTGTCTGGGCTTGGCTGTTGGAACTGAAGGTTCTCCCTCCGTCGCCGTCTCTACTTTTTAAAGGAAGTTCTTTTTGGGGACACTTTTCTGGGCAGGAGGAGCCTTGTTTCCTGGGCTCCAAATGTCACTGTGCGCAGAGGCAGGGCTCCCATTCTCAGGACAGCTTGCAGCCGGAGCGCATCTGCGGGCTTCCTCTCCACTAACACGTGTGTGGGAAGGGAGGAGCGGGAAGCGGCACTCCACCCTCCTTCCCCACGACATTACGGGAACCTGCTTGTGTGCTCCGGGAGACACGCCTTAAGGAAGCCGCGGCGGCGGCACGAAGAAGCGAGGGAAGCCGCTGGCCGGGCGCCCATCTGTGCTCATCTGCAAGCCGCGGCGGCCCCCCTGGCGCCGCTCGGGAAGAAAACGCTCGCCTTGTGCCGCCGGCTCGCACGGAGCGGCACGCACGGGCACGGGCGGCGGTGCGGGGCAGGGCAGGAGCGAGGTAAGCGCGACGCGGCTCAGACCCGCGCCGGGGAGCGGCCACGGCTGTGCGCCTGCCAGCCAGCCTGCAGAACGGCTGGCCGCGAGGCGACCCGCGGGAAGAGCGTTCCGGCCAGGGACAGGCCGAGGGCGGGGCTTTCGAAATCGCGACCGCGCTGCCGGCGGCGGCTGCATCTGGGCCTAGCGGCGGCGGCGGTTCCTCCGGGGCACCGCCGCCTGGCTGCGAGCAGGCCCCGGCGCGGGATCGGAGCAGCCGGAGGTCTCCGCGAGGGGGGGCGCCGCTTCTCTCCCGCCCGCCGCTGGGCCGACAAAGAGCCTCCGCCGCGCCCGCTCCCTCGCGTACTTCCGCCTGGGCTGCGAGCGCCGGCGAGCCCGTGGGTGGCTGCGCGCCTCGGGCAGGGGAGCCGAGCCCGGCTTGCCGGGCGATGCTGACTCCTCCTCGCTCCTCCAGCTCAGGCGGCCGGAGAGCCTGTTCGGGGAAGCGGCGAGGCGCGGCTGAGCGGGGCGACGGGGTCGGAGGAGCAGGGGCTCGGCCAGGACAGTGTAAGTGCCTGCGGCGGGCGGCGGGATCCGGCGACCTTGCCTTCTGAACTTGTTCGGGCCTCTCTGTGGTTCTGCCAGAGCCCAAGCAGGGGCACAGGAGGGATGACCAAAGCCGGGACGGGTAGTTTCCGAGAACTGTACCCGCCGGGGCTCAGACGAAGGATCTTTTGTGAAAGGCGAGGATAATGTTACAGGTGGGAAGGCGACGGTGTCTCTGGCCAGGTGCAAAGTGCTTGGTCCTGTCTGAGCCAGTCCAGCTGCGGGTCAAGAATTCTGGTTGCTTTGAGTCCCTCGTCCCTTTGTTTGGACACTGATCCACAGGTTTTCTTTCGGCCATAGTGATAGGAAGGAGTATGGGAGAAGTATAGGCCTACATCTTTGGTGTTTACTACAAGTGAGCCAGCAGCTATCCGAACCGAGGCTTTGTAGCTGTTTTCATTCCATGGATCAGCCCAGGGACATGTGATGCAATAATAAACTCGAAAGTTCACTGAGCATGTGCTGATGGCTTTCTTCCCACACAACTGATGTATCCCAACTATCCCCTGCATATCCGAGACTGGGGTAGGAGCTTGCTATCTGGAGGGTGTTAGTCTCAAACTGATGATATTTAGTGCTTCTCAGTTCAGAAATGAATACTTCACTCTCATCCCCCACCCCTGCTCCAGCACCTGCTTGAGATCCTCCGAAATATAATGCCATAAGATTATAATGAAGATTTTGAAGGAGGTTGATTATGGATCTTTTGAGAAGGAGGCTTTTGGACATTGTCTGAGCATTCCTTTTGGATGCCAGTTTGTAGATGAAGGAGTGGTCAAATGTTGTTGTTGTTGAATATAGTCAGTGAATAATAGTGGCAAGCTGGAAAGCTGGATTGGCCTACTATTAGGCAGTATGAAGGCAGCAAATGATTGACAGCAGGAAGAAACAAAGAGGTATTGGAGGACAAAGCTCTTGAGACCAGGTAGCTCGCACCACCTCCCTTAAGCTGGAGTGTACAGAAAGTAGTTTTTAATCTACTGGTAGATTACTGGCCATGTGAAGTAGATCAGCAAAGATTTCTGGTTCCAAATAGTAACACTGGCAACAAAACGACTTCCCACCCACCTCAAAACTGTACTGCTGAAGTGATGGGCACTGGAGTGTATGTAACAAGAAGCACTTTTATGTGTGGAAGGAGCATGAGTTCCTTCACTTTCTGGTACTTCAAACACATTTGCAGGCCCAAATTTCTTTGATTTGGCAGCTGTGTCTTATGCTGCTGGCTCTGTGCAGTGGATCTGTGGTTTCTAATAAACACAGAGTGGTTTGCACAGAACTGAGGTCTATCCACACATGTCCTAATGAGCTTGTCACCATTGTTGAGAGCCACTCTGGTCAGTTTCTGTACAGGGAGTTAGAAGTCATCTTGTGTGCCATCTTGCACTGCAAAGTGCCCAGGGCTGTCCTGAAGAATGAATATTACAAGTTAGATGTTATCTTTGTAAATGGAGTAACTTTTGCATTCCTTCTCCTGGGCCTATAAGATCTGTTTCTAGGCAAGAAGCCCATCCCAGGGGCATTCTTGTAAGGGGCAGAGGAAGTTTGGTAAAGTTATTCAAACTAATATAAGGAACAATTTTATTTATTTCATTTCTATATCGAAGTGCTCTGGGCAGTTCACAACAATTAGTCACACATAAAAGATAAAAGAGACTATCCCCCCACTTTTTTTTTTCAAAGTCTGCTTTTTTTTTCCAGAAGTCTCTTGGAAAAAGATGTATTTTTGTCTTCTGTATAAGAACTTCAAACCACCTCCATTTTTGTATTGCAACTCTAATCTGGGTTTGATCACTGCAAAATTCACATTAGCTTTCAGATTCCTAGTTTAATTTATAACTTGGTTATGCTGTACTTTGCTTTATTTTACAACTATAATTATACTCCTTACTTTAAGAGTGGTTTCTTCTTCTCCAGTTACTCTTTTTTTGTTTGTTTGAATTTTTATCCCCAGGGCTCAGGTTAAGACAAAAACATATAAAGGTACTTTAAAAATATACACAGCTAGGCAAACCCCCACAAATATTGTAATTTTGTCCTTGTCCTGGCCTTGCTAACTTGTTTTCTGTCTGAAAGTTAGCTTACAGAGGCATAGTTTTATTACTTTCAGAAAATGCCCAGCCCTGAAACATGGCAGTTTGCAAGCAGAGAAATATCTGAAGTTGTGAGGCTGCAGCCATGAAGAAAGCTTGACTTATTACAAAGATGCTTCTGTTAAGGTCATTCTGATCTTGGGCATTGTGATGAGACATGGATGGAGTGCTTTGAGTTCAGAGTTAACTGTGGATATTAAAGTATTTTACATGTTTGTGTATTATACCATGGTTTGAAAAGTTCATAGGGCTAGTTTTTCTCAAATAACAGAATTTCAAGCGACCGAATGCCATGTAGGTATTTCAGACCATATCTCATTTGAGCCCAGTAGCATGGCCAAATGCTGGGGCTGCTGGAACTTGTAGTCCAAGCCATCTGGAGGGGGCCAGAGTGCCTTCATTTAGCTAAATCCTTGTAAAATGGTAGGGTTATCCATTTAGCCATTCATGGTGGAATAGTCTCATGAATGCTGGTAGAACTGCATCATGGTTACAGCTGTTATACAGGTTGTAGGGATGTTGCTAAAACTGGCCTCACAGTGGCAAACTGTCCTAACCTGGATGTGCAGGTCTACTTACATTGTGAATTTCTGCATTCACCCACACCAGCAGCCTCCGAGAACAAGCAACTGAGTGGCTGCAATTCCTGGTGTAAATCCTTGGATGTGTTAGAGCTAATTCAGGGATCAATCATTTTGAGAAAGTCATTTTTAGTTGAATTTGTGAGGTGTGCGTTGCGTGTCCCCCGGCCCTGCATTCATACCTGTCTGGGTTGCATCCATGGCAGCTTTTGTCTGTCCAGGACTCTGATCTGCTGGTGAAAGAGCTGCTGTCTTTCCCATCACCATGGTGATGATGGGGGAGGGCATGAAGGAATGATATTGCCATGGCAATGGCTCTGTGTTCTCTGGCTGGCTCCATCCTAACAGGAAACCACAGGGGACACAGGACAGGAAGTTGAAGGATTTGATTCTTTCCTGTGGGTATCTAAAGGCAGGTGGCAGTGTGTCCCTTGGTGTGTCCATGTGGCCAGATCATGGACTTGCATGGGCACAGCATGGGCAGAAGAAATGATGAATGGTGAATACATTCCTTTCCTTTTCCCTTTTCAGATCCAAGGCTTGGGGAAGCAAGGGGGTAGGTCTTCAACCCCAAGACCTGAATAATAGTCAGATTTGTTGCTCTTTAAAGAAGGAACGAAATGACTTATTACTGAATGTCAGCCTCTTAGCAATCTTACTTTGTGACAGCTCAAACAGTTTGTTAGCTTCTTTCACTTACTAGTTAGCAGAACATCCAACCTTTGCAGACATCAGGACATTTCTGCAACCTCTAGTAACTCTGGGATAACCAGAAGGTGAGAGCTGCAGGTACCCAGAAGCACGGGTGATCCTGACGCAGTTAAAACCAGCAATTGGAAGTTTTTCCATGGACTCATACAACTGGTCACCAGACCTCACAAAAACAGCTCACTTTAGTTTTTACCTTCCAAACTGGTGGAAGCATTCCAATAAGCCTTTTTACTTTTCAAATTTTAAACTAATGTTTAGGACTAAATATGAACTCATATACCGTTATAGTAATGGACCCTATATTATCACTTGGGCAGAAAGTTTTATGTTACAGTAGACATATTGGTTACCTAGCAGCTGCTTTCTTGTGCCCTTTCCTGCTTGAAATCTTCCCTTTCAGCACGGAGAGATTTTTTTCTGGTTCACGGAGGCTCTTCGGAGAGCTACCAGAAGCACGTGAACCCTTATTGGGTAAGCTTTCTGGGTGGTGAAAAGCCCACTGCTCATAGTTGTCCACCAACCTCTCTGCAGTGTGTGTGCATGTGCGCGCATGCGCAACTAATGGAACACTGATAACTGGGATTTGGGATTTTTTTTGGTTATTATGAGTCCTTTATTATTAATGATCAATGCTGGCAACAGGCCTCTTTGTTACTGTAAATATTTGTGAAACCAGAAGGAAAGGAAGGTGTTTGAGCATTTAAAAGCAGCCACCCACCTTTTCTGGTTTGAAAGAGTAAAAGAGCACAACACTTTTTCTTTTTTTACAGTAAATGTCCAGCCACATGTTTTCCTTCCATGCTTTTGGTTTTTCTATTCAGCAAGCACAATACATATGTTAAAGGCTTTGCTATGCCTCTGGAGATCCCCAACTCTTCAAGCTATTCTCTACAACAGTTTTCCTAGCGACTGGCACCAGAGGTAGACTGAGGCCAACTACTGGGAAAGACCCTTCTTTTAAGAATCCTTTCAGACATCCAGAAAAGGCACATGGTAGGCTCTTCCCAGAACTTTAGCGCTTCTGAGCACAAATGGGGAATCACACCATCTTCCTGTGTACTCTTCTACTCCAGAATAAAATCCTGCAGTCCAGCATGCTGGAGACCAAGGCTTCAGAGTTCTCCCTGGTGTGCGGTTTTTCATACGTGGATGCTCTTTTTATGAGGAGAACATTGAGACGTGAGGTTTCCAGTGTGGTTTTTGAAGAGGTATAATATCAGGAGAGCTGTCATTTCTTTTTATGTCTATTGGCCAGAAGCCACCTTTGCTCTTGCAGTATAGAACAGATCACTCACTACTCCCTTCCCCATGCCAGGGTCCTGCTCCTTCTTGGACCACCCCTGCACATCATTTATTCTTAAAAGGCCATCCACATAATTATTATTGGCACAAATAGTACCTCAGCTACTTTGGTTCTTAGTGGAAGACTTCTACTGTATATCATGTACAGTAACGGAACGTATTGCTGTATGTCACTAGTTTTTCAGTTGTGCACTTAATAAGGGGAACATGGGGCCCAGGAGCAAAGGAGCAATGTCATCCTTGTTTTTTTGCTTGCATGGAAATAAGCAGAAGTGGTTATGTTTTGTCAAGCCTGAACCCCTTAGTGGCTTTAAGAGACATGTAGGTCGTCTTCAGCAAGTCAGGTCATGTTTTGATGTATTAACTAATGTATAGGGTATCTCTGTGGAGTCTTTATAGAGGGCACTTGACTCCAGGTTTTTATTGGCAATATTATGCTGGGCCTTATTCCTTTAGGCCTAAGACAGCTTACTGCAGAAAAAAACAAATTTATTGCTTTCCCATGGGAGCAATAAACTGCCATAAAATCCACATAATAAATAACTTCTGTTTTTAACGACCAAAAACTAATAGAAACTCATGGGCATACATTGGCTTTAACTCATGATTTTTATTAATATTAGTCTAGCTTATGGTATATTAATTTTAGTTGGTCTGTTTTTAATTGAGACAAAAACTGGATACAACCCATTGTGCTCTGAAAGTTAATATAAGGGTGGTGGTTGCACCCATGGGCATATTTGGGCATTGGAGAAACTTCTGTGGGAATGGACTAGACAGTTATTCTTGGTGCGTTTTCCAAGGTCAGGGTTTCACTGACTCTTCTGATGAGGACTGTGAAGACTGGGAGATGGTGGAGAACTACATTCGCTCATTTTGGGGTGGCAGCTGTGAAGGCTCTGCTTCTATGCAAGCTGGTGTTCATTTTCCTTTAGTGATGATATTGCCGCAGAGCACCTTCCATGCCATCTTGACTGTAGCAGTAGTTATAGAAATCAACTTTGGCATGTTGTTTGTATTTCTGATGGCAGGCCCCTTGAACTTGGTACAAAGTTCGCCCCAATTCAAGCATATATCTTGGTTGGCCACGATAGCCAAGGCATGGCTTTGGGTTGCTGAGATCTTGCACCCATTTGTCCCTGACCTTGCTCTGTGCCTCTGCCTGAGATGAGCAACGATTTCCTCTCCCATTCCAAGTTTGGAGTTGGGAGGCAGATCTGGGTTGTCCCCACCATTGCTGTGGGCTTTGCAAGGTGCTCCAAGCATCGTGACATCCTGGCACCCAGACAGCCATGCCCAGCCTTCCTTTGCTGCTGGGAGCTCCAGCACGTGGGGCAGTCCCCTACGCATAGCTGTGTTGCACCGCAGTGCCTTATGCCAGGCTGAAGAGGAAAGCTGGGGCTCCTCGTGTCATACATGCTTACCATGATGAAGCGCCTGCCATGCCAAGAATTAGGAGGAAGGGCCGTAGCTCAGTTCTGGAGCCCCTGCTTTACAGGGAGAAGGTCCCTGGTTCGATCCTCACATAGGACTGGAAAAACTGCCCGAAACTGGAGAGCCACTGCCAGTCAGTGTTGCCTGTACTGGAATGGATGGAGCAAGGGTCTGCCTCAGTATGGTGCATCTTCCTCTGTCCCCTAACTTTGTGACCCCTCCTGTTTGAGGAATCACACTTGCAGTCTGATTTCATACATAATTATTTAAAAGTACACCCTATGAAGTCCAGTTCAATATACTCAGTCTCTCAGCCTAAAATTGAGGACTTGGGTCTCCATCCTCAGCTTGAGTTATGCTATCTAAAATGGCACTCAGGTCCTCGAGACTGTTGGTTACAAAAACTATTGCCAGAAGAAATGTCAGTCAGTATTCCTCTCTGGTGTGACTTAGACTCTAGCAACGTGTTGTTTTTGCACCTTCTATTTTAGGGTGTCCCAAGGCGGAGAATCACCTATCACTACACTGGTGCAGTGACACTAATACTGTGAGTACATGGTGACAAACGCTCTAGAGGTGAAGCCCTGGCTCCTAAATGCTTTGCTTTTGACCTTATCGAGTTGGCTGGAGACCATGCAGAGTGCTCCAAAGCCAGCAGTGCAGAGATTTTACATCTGCGGTAGTTTCAGATTGTGTGTACACACACAGAGTGGTTGCCAACGGAGAGGCAGAAACTAGTGTATATTCATCAGCTCATATCAGAAACTCTTTGTGCCTGTTACCATTTGGGGGGTTTTGTCAAGGACTTCTGCATCCCCCAATGCATTTCCACTGGGGACAGTTTCACACACCTGTACAAGATGTGGGAGTCTGTGCTTTGGAACAGAAGTATATATTTTCTGCCTAATGATCATGAGGCAAGAGCTGCTTAGTGAAGAGCTCCATGTAACCTCAAAGATGGCATTTGTCTCCTAAACAGGAATAGTTAAATACGTTCAATACAAGCATGTCTTTTTTTCTCCCCGTTCCTCATTTTCTGGGACCAGCATGGTTGCAACTGACTATTTCAATTTATTTATAGTAAAAAAGAAATTCAGACGCTAACTTTTGCTTGCTCTCAGTTTTTAGGTTGCCTATACTTCACACACAATAGCTAAGGTTAAAAGTCCGTTGGCAGCCACATTTATGGCTTCCACAGTTTTCATTGCATCAGTTTCTGCCTGCAGAATTGTTGGTCCTGTGGAAACACCCTACAGACAGGTCTTGAATTGTCACTCTAGGTATGGAGGTGTAGTTAGCATAGCAGCCATGGTGGTAGCTTTCTTGGTCCTGGAGCTGAAGCTGAATCTTGTCAGGAGAGCACTGCATTCTCTTGTACTCCAGAACTAGATCTCTATTGTTCCACCCTTCTAGCTGAAGTTGTAGCGCTTCTGTGATCAGCTTCTGTTCCTTACATATTAAAAGGATGGCTGATTATACAACATTCTAATATCTCATTTACAGACTAATGAGACTGAAACTAGATCGGTGCCATTTGCATCTCAGTAAGAGGCTTGCATCACACCAGGCCTAGATTGTGGCTCTCTAGGAACTTGATAATTCACTGATTGTTTGGGACTGCAAAATGGGTGGGGAGAAAGGGAGAGAGCACTTGACTTCCTGGTGCGTGGCTGCTGGTGGGTTGTAGTCAGGCAGTTTGTGCAGGTCTCGGTTATATTCAAAGGCATTATCCTGCCATAAGGAGGGTGGCTGAGCTCAGGAATGGTGAATGTGTGGCCCTCCAGATGTTGCTGGACTTTAACTCCCAACACCCTGCATGTATAGCTGTGGTGGCAAGGGCTGGTGGGGGTGCAGGTCAACAACATGTAGAGGGTCACGTGTTCCCCCCCTCTGGACTAGATAGTACATGGAACCATCTTATAAAATTGGGGCTGCATCCTGTACCCACCTGCCTTGGGGTGAGGACTATTGACCTCAGTGGGACTTGCTCCTGAGGAGATTTGTATTAGATTTTGATCACAGTGTGAACAAGTAGAAAAAGAAAAATGATCAGAGAAAGCAGCAAATCAAGAAGAGTTGCATTGTGAAGACCTGGCTTAGAGAACCATAGAATGTGGAAGACAGTATTAAATGACATATTGATGTAAAGCTGAAACAGTCAATCACTTATAAATTTAGGACTGCTGTCTTTCAATTAAATACTCTTCACATTATGACTTACCAACATCACCTGCTTATATCTGGCCTTATTCATTTTGGGGAATAAAAAAAAGAACAGGATGCAGGGGAGGGAAAGAAAAATCTAAAAATCTCAGCTTGGTCCCTTTCTTTTAGAGTCAGATGTCAAGCTCCTTTCCTCCCTGGTGTCCAAATGCAATCTCTTTTTAATTAAAAAAAAGGGGGGGGCAACCAATTGCTTGGCTTGTGCCCTTGGTTGATAGTGATGAAGAATACAACTGGGCTCCTTACAAACAATTTCAAGAGAATTCCGGGTGGCATTGCTGCAAAAAAGACACCTTTACAGTTACTGTCTTTGTGGCAATTTGTTTTGCTTTTTCATTGTAATGCATGAAATACTTTGATTTTTAAGAAAAACATCTCAGACACTCTTCTGAGTAGTATCTGAGCTACAGTTCCTTTGTTCTGTAGACAGGAAGCCTCAAAAAAGCCAAGTGGTGTCCCCTGTTAAGTACCTGGCTAGCTGTTAAATGCAGTATTACATCACTTACTCAAAAGATATCCCTCAATAAAGGCAGATACGTTTATGTAGCTTCGTGGTTTTTTTATTGATTTGTCCATTTTTGTAGGAGGGACATAGGGCCAGTTGCTGTGAGTAAGTGATGAGAAAAGTGACCAGTGAGGTACTGATTTAATGTTGCAGCTGTCATTTGTTTTGTAACCTAATAATTATTTTAACCTGGAATGGTGTGTTTTTAAAAGAAGTTCTTCAGCTTGACCAAAAAGAGGCCAACACCCTTTGTGGCACCCACCAACATAAAAAAGCCTAGAGGTCCAGTTGAATACTTAATATTTTTAGACACCAGCAACAACCTTTTATGTAGGTGCCAGACTTGTGCAGACCTGATGGAGATGGGGCAGGGAAGGAAGTAGTAGTAATAGTATTAGTAGTAGTAGTTATTATTGTTAGGCACTGGCCAGAACCTAATGCTGCTGTTGAATATGCACCAGTACATAGGCCAATGTTTGTTGGAGGCTTTAAATTACATGGTGCATTTTTATTACTGTCGTGAGCTCTTATTAGTATTGAAGGGTTTAGAGTATGACCGTATCAGTGTCTAGCAGGTGATGATGCCACTTGATGGGAGAAGCGCTACTTCAGTGCTGCCAGTTGGTGTGCATCCTGGGTTGATCATATGAAGATTAAGATGTGGCTCCCTGCAAACAGTTTTGCAGCCTTTCCCCTTGCTGGGACATCTGTAAGCAGTGGGCATGTTCCTGCTGGTTATTTCCACTCCAAGCAGAGGGTTGCCGAGGGTTTCTTGCAAGCACAGTGTGGGTAGGATTGTGAGCCACACCTGGATTCTTGGCATACCTGTGCCCTTTCAGAAGAACGGACAAGTATGAAACACAGGGCTGGAATGTTTAATCCAGCCACCCCCGCCCACAGATTCCCAGTTGTTTTTGCACCTCAGGTTTCTGCTGTCTCTGACCATTGGCCATGCTGGCCTAGGATTCCCACTTGCAATTCATAATCATCATGAGGTGGGTGGGCAGGTAGGAAAAAGCTGGCAGGCACAGCAGTTGCAAGTGGAGTTGGTGTGGTGTATGCAACCTGGCAGATTTACAGCTATCGCCCAAATTATGCTGACTTGTATTGGCCAGGGCATCATGGGTGTGTTTGTTTCCTTGGGGTTTCTCAAGTTTTATTCTCAACCCTACTTTCATTTCATTTCATTTCATTTCATTTCATTTCATTTCATTTCATTTCATTCCTGTACCAGCCCTAGCCAAAGCTCTCTGAGCGGTTTACAACAATCCATAAAACTGACTGTTAATTGCAATACAAATATAAGAAAATAAGAAAAAACATTCAAAAGTTTAAAACAGCTAAAATGAAGAATGTCTCTGAAAACTCCTGTGATGGGTGATCCCCTTATGCCCCTGGGTATCCCAGTAAGTCTTTAAAGACCTTGGCATAAAAGGCCATCTTAACCTGGGGCTGAAAAGATGACAATTTGGCACCAGCTCAGCTGCAGAAGATAAGTTGTTCCATGGATGGGGGGCTGCCATAGAGAAGGCCCTCCCCTTTGTCACCACCTCCTACCACTTCCTTCAGAGTTGGCTTTCAGAGAAGGCCTCAGAGTTGAGCGTAGGGTCTGAGAAGATCTCAGCTGAGAGAGGCACTCTGCCAGGTATTGTGTTCCCAAGCCATGTAAGGCTTTATGTTAAAACCAGCACCTCGAATTGGGACTGGTAACATACAGCCAGTCAATGCAGTTGGGCCAGAACTGGTTTTATGTGTTTGGCCTACTGGTCCCAGTTACTAACCTTGCTGCTTTATTCTCCACCAGCTAGGCTTTTGAACTTTCTTCATGAGCAGTCCCATGTAGAGTGCTTCGCAGTTATCAAATTTAGAGATTACCAGAGTGCAGAGTACAAGTTATCTGTGTCCAGAGAGTGGCGTAGCTGGGCCACCAGCCAAAGCCAGTAGGAGGCACTCCGAGCCGCTGAGGCACCTGAGCCTCAAGTGACAAAGATGGACCAAGGAGCCCCCCCAAGCTGCAAACCTGCTTCCCCTTCCAGGACAGGTTAGACACCCTCCATCTGGTCGGAGGAGCCACCCACCAACAGCATCACAGCCTTGTCTGACTGAGTTTCAGTTGATTAGCCCTCATCCAGTTCAGTGCATAGCCAAACACCAAAAGCAGTGGGGAGGGAGACGAACTACTTCAGCTTCAGGCTTGCATAGCCGAAGGGTTAGAAACAGGCTCCTTTTGGGGATGAATCGCTGATTCAGGGCTGGCCACATCCCTGCAGTGGCCCATTTCATGTGAGGCTCCGCACTTCCTGCCATCAGCCTGCCATCAATACTGTCATGGCTTTCTACCCTTGCTGGTTTCTGTGTTCTCAGTGGACGGAGAATTCCATCAAATTCTAAACCTTCCACCTGGCAGTCTCAGGGGTTACAATTGCTTTCCTCAATTAAACAGTTAAACAAATTTTATTTATTTATTATATTTATGTACCACCTCCTAAATGCAAATACTGTAATACAATAAAAAGTGTGTGTGGGGGTTTTTTTACTAGTGGATTTAAATTGTGTGCGTGTGCATGCACGTTTATTTTAGTACACGAATTGCAAAAAAGGAGATGGCAAGAACCATCTGAGAAGTGGTTTCCCTTTTTCTCCTTTGCACAATAAGCTGCAAGAATTGAAAAGGCTGTACTGCTGCAATAGGTCTGCTGATTTTGCCTTATGAAAATTTGTCAGAGAAAAGTTGTGCAGTTTTTTACATGCCTGTTTCATAACCTTTATGAAAGAGGTGGTGTAATATAATTGAATGTGTAAAAGGCTGAACTCTTTTCCTTCTAGTGCTTGCAAACAATGGCATATCAGGGTGTAACCAGAGACAGAATTTGATAAACTTGTCTTCATCATTCCACAATTAATCTTCGGCATGCATGCAAAGCCGCACCTGTTGCCAAATGAAAGCCAGTTCTCCATTTCCTGTCTAATGGTTTTAGTGCTGTGCTGGCACGAGCACGCCTGAAATGAAGGGGCTTGATCCGATGTGGAAGCAGGACTGGGGCAGTAGGAAGGCAGGACCGTCACTCAGTGGCGCTGGCAGCCCACATGCTTTGCATGCAGGAGGTCTTGAGGTTGAATCCCTGGCATCTCTCGCTAAAAAGCCAGGGGAGCAGGTGGGCTGAGTGGCCAATGGGAATATTTTAAATCCTGACTTTCTAATATTTATTTGTTTGTTTTACACTGATAACAAATCCAGTTTTCTTCCAAGAAGTCCAAGGTGGCTTGCATAATCCATCGCTTCTCCATTTTATCTTCATATCATCCCTGTGAGGTGGATTAGGCTAAGAGTCTATGACTAGCCCAGAGGCAGAGAGGGAGCTTCATGGCTGAGTGGGGGGCTAGAGTTCGGGTCCCCCGAGTCTCAGTCCAACCCTGTAGCCACTAAGCCACACTCTTTGGACCTCAGCCTCTACCAGACCAGTCAGCATGGCTGCTAGTTGGGAATTGTGAGAGTTTTCATCTAAAACCTCTCGAAGGCAGAAGGTTGGGGAGAGCTTGAATAAATGCTGCTGGCTTCTGTGTCCTTCGGGAGAGATGTTCTACATTCACAACACAGCAGGCTTCAGCAATCGCGTTATGTTGTGTAAACCATTTTAAAAGCATTGTGCTAATCAAATGGTAAATAACTGGCGGTCTAGTTGCTGAACTACATAAATATGCATGTTACTGAGAGAACGATATTGGGGGCACTTTATATGGCCAACACTGGTGGCATCCCTTTTTCCTAAAAGGGAGAGCTTTCTCCCGATAAAAGAAAGCAGTTTGAGAGCCAGCGTAGTTTTGTGGTCAGAAGGTTGCACAAGGATGTGGGAGATCTGGGTTCCAGACCCCACTCAGCCGTGAAGCTCACGAGGTGACTTTGGGTAAGTCACTCACTCTCACCATAACCTACCTCACAGGGTTGTTGTGAGGATTGAGAAAGGAAAGGTTATGTAAGCCACCTTGAGTTCCTTGAAGGAAAAAGGAGATATAGATGAGATATAGATATAATAAATAAATAATATATTAGAACAATATTGCCCCATTTTTCTATCAAAATTGTCTACCTGACAGGCTTGTTTGTTTATTTATTATAGGTACACCCCGCCTTTTCCCTTTCAAGTCCCTGAGTGCCACACTATACTTGTGGTGAAGGATGCTGAAAGGCCTTGATTCTGTTCTTGTGGCTTACAAAGGCCTAACTGTGGACGAAGCTATGCTGAACTCCTTGTCTGTAGTGTAAATTTAGCAGTGGGAGCTGAGGTCTTGACTGAGATTGCCAAGGTCTCAGAGACCTGTGGATTACAGCAGACATCCAACATTTTGTTAGACATGAGGAAAGAAGGCAAGGCAATGAATTCTGCTCCCACAGATGCCTGCAGGAAGGCTGCAAGCAGGGCTTGAATGCAAGTGAAGCCCCCTGCTCCAGTTTCCCAGCGTCTGGCCTACAGAGGCGTTTATTGCCCCTGATAATGGAGGTAATATATAGCCTCCTGACTGGAGGCCACTGCTAGCCTTATGCTCCCTGAATAACATGCCGTCCAGAAACACCAGGATGGGAGCAGCCAGCGCATCTGCTTCTGGCTGTGCAACTAAGCTACAGCTGCACTGCAGCCCATAGGTGGGGCTCACAGGGCTGAATGCTTGCCACTACAGTCCATAAACGCATTAACATCCTTGCACTTAGAAAATTGGCATGTTGGGGAGGGGGCTTCCAGGGCAGCATTTTTCAAGGGGTGTTTCAGAACTGAGCTTGCAGTCACGTGAGCTCCCATCCGACCCTTGAGTGGTACAGCAGAGATACATGTTGGCTGCCTTAGTGAGGGCAAAGCTAAATAATCCCTTCTGCAAACAGTCCACATGGTTTTCCCAGTGCTGAATAACCAGCCCCAAGAAGAATACACTACGTGTTCCTCTCTTGCATGACCCACTCTGTTCCCTGGACATCGCGAAATGGGCTTTTTAACGTTCCTCTTTGTCTCCGCCAGAAGCACAGTGCTTAGCTCATTGGGAATGCCCTCTAATGATCCAGGGGGTTATGTGCCTTGCCATGGAGCTTTCAGTCTTATATTCTTCCTTTCTAATAATGTTATCTCTTTATTAGTACTTTAAATGATGGTTTCATAATTGTGGGGTACTCTGTTAAATTGGGAAAGGAAGGAGCTAAAATGGTCCTTAAAACAGAACTTAGTGGGAGGTTTCAGTAGCCACTTTCTTTCAGTAGTTGCTTTCCTGTATCTTTGTACAATAATATTAGACTTCTGTAGGGCAGAAGTGTGTGTTGTATCTAAGCTAATTGTAATCTGCCTTATTTGTGACATATAAAAGAAGAAACTTTTGATGGTCTGCAATTTCCAGCATTCCCACAGTTACTTTCTGAAGAAAGCTGGTAGGAATTAAATAGTGACATAATAAAAATAGAACTGTAAATATTATAATTCAGATTGTCACTTTTTTTCCAAAGGCCACTGCCTGTTTTTAGGAGTATTGTGCAAGTACGGGATCTGTTATTTGAGTTGAAGTTTGTTATTGTAAGAATTTAGATTTACCTGTCTGTAGAGAAGGAACCTGTCTTGTGCTCACATTACATAGCAATGTACCAAAAGTTGCTAAGTCTCACCTTTACAGAGGTCTCTCCTTGTCTGTGCTTCTTGCATTGCTCCAAATTTTTGATTCCTTCAAAAACCTGGATCATGCATGTAAATGAATGAAAGCTGCAGCATATACAAAAGCTGTTTTTATCAGTTAAAAACAGAGCTTGCTTTTGCAGCTAGATAACTTAGGAAGTGGGAAACATATTCATTTGGAGTATACAGCCATTGCTAGTGTTAGAATTGTTGGATGACATTTTGAAGCATATGTATAAAACCGAGAGGATCTTGTTATTGTTGCTTGTTCAGTGGAAAAACTCATGGTGGTAAATTCTGGCATTTGACCAACAGCTCTTTAGAGACATTTGTTAGCAATATAACACATGTGAGGAACAATGCTACGATATATTGATGAAACAAGAGCTCTGATTGGCAGCCGCATAACCTCATTCTGCATGTTCATGATATCTAATTCATTCTGTTGGCACTGGGGAGATGAATGTAGAGATGTGTAGGCCTGGTGGGGGGTGGGGAGTGAAAAATAGGGAAGGTCAATGAGTGTGTGTGTATTTCCTCCCCCAAATATTAAAAGAAAGTTTTGGGAAACATTAGGAAAGTATCCTATGAAATATTTTCTCTTTGGAATCAGTAAAATACTTTTTTAAGAGAGTAAAAGCTTGTTTTAAAGTGTGTAGTATGAAGATAGTCACAATAAGTATATTCACTTTTTAGAGAACAACCCCCCTATCTATAGTGACACATGTAATGCTAATATTTGGTTCATCACCTTGAGCACTGCTCAAGGGTGAGAAACTGAGTAAAATAAGTCAGCCTTCTCCAAGTGTGTTGGACTGTAATGCCTATCATCTGCAGCTAGCATGGCGTGCTCCTAATCCAGGATTCATTTCTGCTGTCATCTTCATGAGAGGAGCATAGTGGACCCATGCTTCTTGTGCATTGCCACTTGCCTTTTTCTGGTGACTTCAGCAGAAGCAAATATCCTGCAGCTTCTGCCCCTTTGCATGGTCACAACTAAGGTTTCAACCCGATATACGGTTATCTGGAAGAAAATCTCATTGAACTTCATGGGGCTTACAACTGCATGAAAACATATTCACTATTATATAGATATTTCAGTTATCCCAGAAATGTTCATTTCACATTTCCTCCAAATTGTGTGGTATACTAGGGAGGATTATAGGAAAAATGCCTCCTCCAACTTTTCTTTGCTGCCAGCAGAATGAGGGTTAAGGAAATGGCTTAAGAGACATTAACTTAAGAGGGTTAAGAGAAATGGCTATTCTTCCAGTGCCTCCAAGAGCTGTTGTTTGTGTTTCCATGGGAGCGTCCCACTTCCTAAGTGTCCTAGTTTTGTGTGTGTGTGTTGGATGGGTGGGGGAGTGATTCTGCTTCCAATCTTGCTGGATTGGGATGAAATCAACCTACTTCCTCGTGCTGCCTTCTTGGTAAGGATCTTGCCCTTGCCTCCTGTGTGTCTAATCAAACAAAGGGAATGTAGTTCCCTGCTATATTCCATGTAATGTGTAGTTTGACCCTTGGAGTTTCAAAAGCAAGGAACTTTTGATGGCTACTGGCTGACAGGTGTGGCAGCAGAGATTCTTAGTGGATGGGGAAGAGCTCCCCTTGGGTGCTCACCTCTTTGCTGTCACTCCCATTTCCATGGGCGCCAACCCAGAAAACACGTATACCATTGACAGCATTCGACATCTCCGAATTTGTTTCTATAAGGTGTATATCACTTGTATAGCGAGATACTTACAAAAAACTATATATAGTGAAACATTTTGAAGAACCATTATGATTGAAATGCAATATAAAGGTACTGCGGGTAAATAAATTCATCATGGTGGGAGCATCATTCTTTAGACTACTTGGAACATCAACCAATCACTTTTGGTTTGGAAATATTATCATGATTGCCAAGTTTTTAGCCTAAGTCTGCCTTCTCAACTCAGTTTCCTCCAGATATTTGGTATTTTGACTTCCATCGCCACTTAGCCCAGAACTTCTGCAGGACAGCTAATGGGAGAAGGCTGTTTTAAGACTCGCTGTTAAGCAGACACAACTTTCTTCAGGCATTTGAAATGATGCCCTATAGTTCCTCAGTCAGCTGAGGGCAATATTCTACTCATGGCTCCTCAGAGAAAGGGTGGGATGCAAAAATTTTTCCACAAATTTCATGGATACCATATTATGTACTTTACTTTAAACTCCCTTCCCCTCAGATTTCATGTTTCTAGTTTAGCCAATTGCTCTACTCACGGTAAACATGCCTGTTTTCCTTTTTCCCCCAGAATTAAAAAATGGCATTTCGAAAGGCAATAAAAGGCACTATTCTTGTTGGAGGAGGTGCTGTAGCAACTGTTTGGGGCCTCTCACAACTTTCTCAGTACAGAGGAAAGCATGTAAGTAACATATTTATTTGTTTGCATTTGGTAATATACTAAAATATATTTATTTGATTTTTATTCTACTTTTCCACCAAGAAAAATGTCACTCCAACTGGCTTACAGTCATAAATAAAACTTGATTAAAATGATAAAACAATACATTAAAATTCTGTAAGAAGACAGCAGCAACAGAATAAAAATAGCAGTCACCCCTGCTTACATACTAAAGATCTTCTTGAATAAAGTGGTCATCACCTGTTGACAAAGCGCCATTCAAGAGAAAGCAAACCTAGCCTCCTTTGCAGAGGGAGTTCACAGGATGGCAGCTGGCACCAAGAAAGCTGTCTTTCATGTCACTTCCAAACACGCCGCCAAAGATGGTGGCGTCAAGAGAAGGGCCTTTCCTGAAGATCTCAAGACCTTGTCGGGCTCACTTGGGAGAAGGTAATCTCTCTGGAAGCTGGGTCCCAAGCCATATGGGATTTATAGGTCACAACCAGCCCTTTAATTCTGCCTGGAAACAGACCAGTAGCCAATGAAGCTGTTGTAGCCATTGGGTCATGTGCTTCTTGTAACTGGCCCAGGTCAGCAGGCTGAAAGTTCTGAACAGTGTTCATAACTGGGACCGCAGAGCCTGTTACTCTCCTTAGTTGCAGGGATGTAACTAAGGCAGGTGTGACCATGGCCAGATCAGATGTCTCTAGTAAGTTTATGCAAGTGCAGCACTTGAATGTGTGGTTCCTTCACTCCAGTGTTGTAAGACTGCTCATGTTTTTCTGGGATGGAGCCATGTTGTACATAGTGGCAGAAGTACCAACTAAGAGTAGGCTTGGCACTTTAAAAAATACTGGATTCAGTTTTGTAGCTATTTAGTATGATAGTCTTAGTTGTCTTTAGCCTTCTTTGCCCACTTGATGCCTTCCAGATGCTCCAGACTACAGCTCCCAGCATTCCTGACCATACAGCATGCTGGCCAGAGCTGCGGTCCAAAACATTTGGGGGGCGTGGTGTCAGGTTTGGCAAAGCTGATATAACAGATAGAGTTTCTGTTCTCTAAGAGCATAAGGGATGAGGCCCCAGAGAACTCCATGGACTTATCGTTGCATGTCTGCCTTGTGCTCTTTTTCTGGAGTCTCTTGGGGCAGGGACTTTCCTAAGCGTATAAAGATTGCCCGGGTCTTAAAATAACCTTCTGCTCTTCAGGATGAGAAACATGTCATCCCTTGCCATTAGCTGTGTTGGGTAGGACGGAGGAAAGTTGCAGTCCACCTACATGTGGGGGTAGCACATTCCCATCACTCGTCTTAAGGTCTGCCTCATACCTTCTGGAGGCTGCTGAGGACCTCTTCCACACCAGAGGAGCGTGACACAGTGACCATCGTGATGTGTGCAGGAGGCTTCCCGTCTGGATTGGCCTTCGTGCTGAAGGCCAGTCTGGTCTCATCCTCTAGTCTCAAGCCTTGACTGGGTGAGCGGAGGATGAAAGTCTTCCTTTCCTTGACATTCTCTCGAGGTTCAGACGTTCTCACCCTTCCCCACCCCAGTTCTGAGCTGGCTACCAAGGCCAGCCAAAATTGGTGTGTGGCCTCGGGGTGACTCTTCATTTCTGGCACACTTGTGGAGAAACGCCAAGTCTGAAGTTGCTCTTGCAAAACCATAGTGTCTATTCCTCTGCAAAAGGTTGAGTCCTACTGAGAGAAAGGGCTAAGAAAGGAGCAACGTGTTTTTTGTGCTTCTGTGTATTGTAACGTGCATGTCTGTTGTGCAGCATTGTACCTATTGCCTACAGCCCCCTCCCCTCAGTGTGGAGCAGCAGGTGGGCTATAAGTGGAGGGATTGACGCAGGGAAGGGACAGCCCATTTACAGTGCTGACACCTCTAAGCTGTGGGCATGCCTGAAAGCCAAACTGTCCTCTTTTTTAATAATGCCTGCCAATCACAGAGAGGACGGAGCAAAAGACCGCTGTGACTTCCAGACACAAGAAGGGAAGTTGCCCCAAGACGCGCTCTAATTGGCTACCCAGTGCAAGAGGTCTTTGGCTTTTTCTAAATGAGTCCTTTCAACACTCACTGGCACTGAGAGAAGACATAATTCTATTAGCATGCACACAGATTGTCTCTTCTGTCCCCTAGAAACATCTCATTTACTCTGTAACAAGCCAGCTTTCAGCAGTGTGCCATTCACCCCTTCTTTTTTGGGAAGCCACAGACTGAATTCTTTATTGCTGCAGCTGCGATAGCTTGAAAAGAAGCAAAGTTTGGTCACTGTCAACACCTTTTTAATGCGGAATTCTGCAAGGCCAGCACTGTCTGCATTCAGCCTGCTCCCATGAGGGCTAAAAGTTTTGAGGGGGTGCTGAGGTACCTGCATCCTTAGCATCCCCACCTGCTCATTTCCCAAACTGTCTGGGTTGAGGGGGAAATCTCAGCCGAAGCTTCTGCTCATGGTATCGAAGTCCTTTATTCTGCTTGGCTGCTCGCTCCCTTCTTCATGCCCTCTATTTTGTGTTTCCTTACAAATCTTTCTGTGCCCCACCTCTTCATGCTTATTACAGCAACGTTGCTTCCTGCACAGAAATTGCATTCTCACTCACAAAGAAGAAGGCAGACAAGCAAAGGCATCTCATGCCAAAGAAGCTGGTTTGCCTCAGCAAATAGTTTGCAAGAAACAACAGCAATTGCAGGACTTGATTTTGCCTTGGAGTGTGGGAAGTGCCTTTTAAGTACTGGGGGAGTGGGGCAGAAGGCTATCGGCACTTCCTGGGCAGCAAAGTGACCTTCCTTTGCTAGACACAAATGTGCCTCCTTTGGTGATTATGGTTTCACTGGTAAAATAGTCTTGTTGCTGGCCAGGTCCGTGTGACAGTGGTGGGTTGCTGTGTCCTCCTAACCTGGTGCAGCTTCTGCAGGGCTGCTTATGTATCACAAGCCACTCAAGAAGCCAGGGCATGTGTTAGGGTTGTTCTTGCCCACAGTGGATTTCTGTGGGCAGTTCTCTCATGGATCATTGGAAAAGGTTTTAGGGCTCTCAGCAAGAGCAGCAACCCCCTTGCTTTGACTATCTCACCGGTGACTGCCCTTCCACTGATGGCAAATTTGGAAGGGCCATTACTTGTTAATGGGCTTTTAATTTCTGGGCAGGGGGGCACAGTGAGTTCTAAAATGCGCAGCTGGGATTGCATCATATCACTGCCAGTGTTGTGCAGGTGCACAAGTAGATGTGTATAGCCGATCCATATATGTAGCCTTGCCTGGCCAGTTTCCTTGTCAGTTTTATCTGTCAGAGGGAGGACAAGGTGAGATTGTGGATAGCACTGAGTGCTGAAGTCCAAATGCCTAGTCATCCAATGAAAAGCATCAGTAAAAGGAGAAGCAAAGGCAGGATAAGGGTCACTGAATACGGATGGGGAAAATATTTCCCCCCCACCAATGAAATTCCCTTGATTTCTAATGCTGAAATGTCCATTCACACTATTCTCCACCTTTTCAACACTTCCCTGACTCTCCAGCGACTTCAGAAAGGGGACATGTTAACTCCCACTTCCCGTTGCTTTTTGGAGCACTTACTGCAGCAGGTATCAATGGTTCCCTGCCATTTTAACATCCCTGCTCAAAATGGATGCAACTGTAGTAGCTGGGAAGTTTGCACACCTGCATGGACTGTTGCATTATTGCAGGCGCGTACGTTTCCTTTCCATTTACTTTCTAGCCCTTAAATTGGCACACATTGCTTCATTTTTAAAAAACTTTCACAATACCCGCCAGAGGTCCCTCCCTGGAGACCACTTGGCCCACATTCCCAGGCGGCACACAGCCCAAAGGATTTAGTGGTATCTCAGAGAGTCCATTGTCCCTACATCATTTTTCAGTCCTTTGGGCTTAGTTGTGGTACATTTTAAGGGTGGTGAAACAATGGTTTCTCCTCTCACAGGAGGAAGATTCCCTGTACCTTTTTGAGGTATTGCTTTTCCTGTTTCATAGGAATATGCAGGAATCTTCCCTTTTGTTCAGGCTGGTCCTTGTCCTTTATAGAGGTACAGGCCTCGGAAAAAATAAGGAAAAAGGGATGGAAATATTTGAAAACAACCCTTTGGAAACAACCCTATATTTTTCCAGTAAATTTGGAAAAATAACATTTATTCATGCACACAGACTCCCCCGCTGCCGTCCCTTCCCCCACCCTTCACATCTCTAGTCTAGATACCTTTCTGTAAGTGCCATAGCACAATCGTAGGCATGTCCACTCAGGAGTAAGTCCTGTTGTCTTAAGTAAGACTTACTCCAACGTAAATACTGTACCCCCCCCCCCAGCTCAATCAGGTTTCTGTGACTTTATGGCTAGAAGCAGAGAACACGTGGACCCAGTCACATAGGGCAATAGTAACTATTGCTGCTGTGAAGCCAAATAGGCCGCATCCCTTTCATGGTGCTGCGCTGAGCATGTGCTTTGCCACCTGTCTCCCTGTCTGTCTTTTAATATCATGCTGCATAGCAGGAGAAGCTAATACGGTATCAGATTCAGTAGACCCAGTCCAAAATGCAGACATGACTCCTTAGAACTCCCTCAGGTCAGTGGCTTGGCCTAGAGCCAACTAAGCTGCAGCTTCCAAACATGAAGTCAAGTTTATGAAAATATATTGCCAAGTGCCTTTTAATACTGTTGTGCCTTCTTGTTCTACCACTGTAGAAGAAGATGGCAAAAACATATTTCTGCTCAACCCATGGAGTTCATGTACAATTCCATAAACAAGAATATAAAATGCAGGGTAATAGAAGTGCTCTCTTGTGTAGAGCGAGATACTGTTTGTGTATCTTCTCTTTCTCTAAAAGCAGAGAGAAGCTGTTTTTAAGAAGAAAATATATCCCTAGCATTCTTCTACAGGAAATAGGATGTCTGGTTCCATGTACTGAGATATTCCAAGGCATTGATGGAGGTTCGGACAGAATCGAAGGGGCCGTTTATGCCTTGCTGCATAGCTTTACATGGAGCTGGCGTGTCGAGTAACCTTTGCTAAGCTGGAAAGTGCAGGCTTGCAACTGGATGGGTGGCTGTATGTGGAAGCAGAGCAGGGGTTGGACTTGATGACCTTACAGACCCCTTCCAACTCTACTTCTTGTTTTATCTGATTCCACTGCATGAACAGAACCAACTGCTTTTGCAACAAGAGATGTAGCACTTCCCAGAGGAGGCCCTGAAATGAGCAGAAATACACATTTCTGTGTGGGGACAGTTGGGCAGAGCCTTACATGGAGGAGCTCCTCTTTGACCTGCCCCATTCCAAAAAGAGTTTCTGCTTGTCCTGGAACTGGTGCATCTTGCTGCAAGCAGCTGGTCCTTCATGCATAAGGGACTCGGTGCAGGTGTAAGCACCCCATAGGATCCTGTGCATGTGGCCCTCCAGGTGGTGTTGGAATGCTATTATCAGTATCCTTCACCTTAGACTGCTGGGTGGGGCTGATGGAAGCTGCAATCAATAACATCTGGAGGGCTTACACATTCCCCGCCACTGCTTCAAGTTATGATCATTGCAGAACAAGAGCATTTTGGAATAGAAGCTGTGCATCTGCCTCTTCTAATTTGACATCCACCAGGTGCATGGGAAAAGATAATAGTGTCTATCATGACTTCTTAAATTGTTTTAGGAATTGCTCATTTTTGGTGCATGTTTTGTAGATCAGCATGGATTCTTTTTAAAGTGGGAAGATAATTAATAAAAACAGTGTATTCAAACCCTTTTAATTGCATATAAAATACGCTGAAGCCTTAGTTCACTTTCCTGTTATCATAAATCCTATGTTTTGCTCATTACATTATTCAACTAAGGTATACTGCCTTTGTACTCTTGTACCAGAAGTAGACACGAGTTATTCAGTTAGGAAAAGATGATAGGTCCCCTTCAGACGATGGTTTGGGCAGCCTGACAACACCATCCAGTTATAAGTAGACTATATGGGGGGGGGGGTGCGCGCACATGTGCTGGGAGCGATGCTGAAATGGCTTGAATGTCTACAGGACTGAAATGCAAACATGTTCTATTTTGTGCAGTTGCATTTTAAGTAACTCTGGGTAATCAAGGGTGCAGCCCTCTCCCTTGCAGCCTTGATACTCATAAACCTCCAAACGCAGACGTTTCGGAGCATCCAGCACAGAATGGGAAGAGTGGCAGGGGCGATCTTCACCACCTCACTCCCCCTGGTCTGCAGTTCTTCTCCTCCTCCTCCTGGTGCAGTCGATTTTGGTCTTGTGGCTGAGATGCTTCAGAGGGGAGGATGCTAGAATGCCATCAGGATGCTTTGTGTCCTCCCACATTCAGTCTCCTCCCCTCCTTGCCCCTTGAAATGCTCCTTTGACAAGGTTGATTTTCCAACCTTGCTTCAGGGAAACAAGGTTGAGCAGTTCTTTCCTTGCAAGAACACAGGAGGACAAATTGGATCTCTAGCTTCTAGGTAGGAACATAGTTTCTGAGCTTTGCTCTGGAAATCTGAGTTATCCTGTGACCCGGTAGGCACTGTCTAGGGGACCGTAGGGTTGCTTTCTAAAGAACTAGCAACCTTTGGACATCAGCTGGATAGAATACAATTATATGTAAGTTTGGTTGGAGAATTATGGGAGTTGTAGGACATGGTTCTGTTTAAACATGCATAGATTATATCCTTAGTATAATAAATTTTAGAGGTGTATGCATTCCTGTGTTCTGGGTATTCATAATGGAGATACAGGCAGTCCTGGGTTTGTCTGTTCCTGAGAAAATGGACATTCATCTTTAAGTCGAATTTGTATCTAAGTGGGATTGTGTATAGTCAGCCCTCCACAATTGTGGGGGTTAAGGGGACAGAACCCCCATGAAAGTGGAAAAAATGCTAATATCTTTAGTCCCTCCCCCATCCAAATTCACCAGTGCCTCCTCTTTGCAGCAAGGAAATGCTGGAGAGATTTCTTTCTCTGGATGGGCATGGCAAGAAGGCCTGCTTTGGAGGCCTTCCTCTCTCTCCTTTCACTTCCTCTCTATGGTGATGCTTTGGAGCCTTCCTCTCTTTCATTTTGTGTCTTCTCTCTCTATGGTGATGATGATCTTCTGCAGTAATGTTTTTTTACATTAATAGGCTTTTTGATAGTTTGTTTAACTCAGGTGTTTGTAACTTGGGCATTGCCTGTAATGCAATATGTAACCAGTATTAAGATTTGTATTTGTTAAATATAAAGAAAATATATCCTTGAGAAAGCTTTCTTGTAAGTTTTAGGAGAGACTTAGGTATACCCAGGTACAGAAGGAGGAGGGGGATACTTAGTATGTATAGTAATAATAGCAGTAATAATAATACTTAGCAATTGCTGTCATAATAGTTACAATTTATAATAATAATAATAATAATAATAATAATAATAATAATTACTACTACTGCTACTACTGTCATTATTTCTGATTATGAATGTGCAGCAGACAGGGATTTTGAACCAGAGAACTAAGTTTGCAGTGTCAACTGTATGCTATTTTAGTCTCAGTTCTTAATTCAGAACTTGACATTTTTGGTATTTTATCCACACAGGGTAACCTTGCATCTGTTGAAGCTTCCGAATGCAAGCCTTCACTCATGCTAAGCTCCCTTCCTACCAGAGAGAGTCAGCTCCAGGCCCTGCGAGAAAATGGTGAATTCGATGTTCTTATCATAGGTGGTGGTGCAACAGGAAGTGGTTGTGCTTTAGATGCTGTTACAAGAGGTGAGTCTTGCATAGACAGAAGTTATCCGTGTCATATATGGTCATATCCTCATCCCTTGAGAACTGAATAGCTGTTTTGAATTCATTTAAAGCCACCCAGAAAGCTTTGCTTTTGAGGAAGTGTTTGTTATAGTCAGAGGACCTAAGATCTTTAGACATATAATCTGGATATGGACCAAGCCTAACAGTTGTGGAGTTTAATGGCCATGTTTGCTGTGGATGGTGGGAGTTAGAGTGGCACCAGGTTGGGGAAGATTGAACTAGCCTATGATTAATCCAACACATTTTGAAGTACTGCATGGGATCAAGCAATTAATCTGTCTCTGGTTCCTTCTTAAAAGTCATCTTGATACTCCAGAACCTCACATTTTAGGAGAATGCAGAACAGTTTCTTTTCTTTAAGGGTGATAAAGTCACAGATTGAAATTGTAGTTAAGCCCCCCCCCCCCCGCTTCCCTGGATTAGCGCTCATTCCTTGTAGAATCCTGTGGGGTTCCTTGTTTTAAAGGCTGAGACCAAAATGGTGGTTGTCGCCACCCGCACCTAGCTTGCTGACTGAGTCAGGAACTCTGCCTTCCCATCTCATCTAGTTTGTGGCTTTGAGAATGCGGCAAACAGAGCATTGAGATCAACCAGCAGAAGTGTGGCATAATTTTGGACTACAGCCTGAAGTGCTTGTGTGTTTAGGCTTTGGCTTCCTGCCCTCTTCTCACTTGATCCGCCTTTCTAGTAACCCTTGCTGCTTGGTGGCTAGGCTGCTGTAAGCAACGGCACAACAGCAGATGTTGCTTGTAAGCCACAAATGCCGGACGGTGATTGGCTGCCACCCTGTCCATGTTGCAGGGCATCCTAAGCCCTCAGCTGGTCTGCAAGGGATACATCCAAGCTAGGAGAGAGGAAGAGAGGTTAGCTTACATCAAGACCATTTTAAATCTGAAATTTGAATCACAGAAAAAGGCAAATTGAAAGAACTAATTTCAGTCAAGCAACTACAAGGCACGTAATTGAGTTGTAAATAGTCTTCATATAGTTTCAAAATAAGATCTTTTAGTAATTGGATATTTTGTATGCGCTAAAAAATCACAATCCAAAGTAGCAAACAGCCAGTTGCTACTTCTCCCCTCCTGTTTTTTATCATCTCTGCAGAAAATGTGGAGAGCCTGAGGTTTGGAAACAAGGGCTGCTAGTTACTGAGCAGAAGAGTTAATTTTCATGAGGTGAAAAGCAGAGAGTAAATATTTAGAATATGAGAGCTGAGCAAACTGCAGAACTTGAGTAGTTAAGCTGTATACACATACACATCAATTTAAATGTTTAAATACCCATTTTAAATTTTAAATACCCATTTTTAAATTGCAGGATTTAATCATAATAATTAAAAAATGTTTTCCTCCACCATATGCCTGCTCATATGCCGCTGTTCTAAAGCATAGGGACTCCTTGTCTTGGTTTTCTGCTGGTGTCCCTTTGACTCGGTGAGTCACTTTCCATTCCATCCACTTCCAGCAGGTGAACCCTCCAGCTTCCCCTCTCTTGGCTTCCGCCTGGCTGCCTTGCTCTGTCTATGATCTGTGTCCCATCCTGGCAGCAGGTGGGCTTGTTAAGCAGCACTTTGCGGATGTTTCAAAGGTAACGGGTTGCTTCTTTGTGTGGAACGGTCTGCTGTTCTTGCACTCCCATCACACCTGGGCAGCAAAAATGAATGTGTCGGGCTATGCCAGGAAAGGAAATAGCTCTCTACTCAATGCAGCAGGAAACATCATATGTTCCTTTTCCCAAGGTTTTGTATTACTCAGGATAGCCTTGTCAAGATGTCATGGCTTGGAATAAAGTGACATGAATGAACAAGGACGGTTGAGCAAAGAAGTCCTAATTGAAGGGAGGAAAGTCAGGCCTAACTTGTACATGACAGCAACTTGTTTTGTTTTTTAAAAACCAGAGGTTGTATTGAGCAAGTGTGTGTCTTGTTTAACTTTGAATTCTAACTGTGGATTATTTCTTTGTTGAAAAGCCTGCTGTGTTTTCCAAACAATTGCAGTTGGAGTGACTGGGCAGCCTACAGAAGCATGATCTCTCACAATAAATGGGGATTTAAAAAAAAAAAAAAACTGGGTTGTTCTGATGTCCCAACTGGACCACTGTCTCTAGTACAGCTGTGAACAAACTTCAGGCTTGGGAAATCAACTTGGTTATCATCCCTTTACTAAAACCTCATCAAATTGAGCCCAGGAATTTGTTCTGCGTAGCAGAACTGAATAGAGGGCACAATCCTTTCTCACAGGAACCAAATCTAGGTGTCTGCTGCCATCCCACACACTTTCTTCATTTCAGCAGCACACTTCAGAGTAGAGGAGTTGTCTTTTTACAATTGTAGAACGATTAAGAGTGAGAAATCCTTGCAGATCTGCTGCTGATCTGTGTTGGTATTGCGGGCAAATAAGGTTTTGCAAGTGTTTCGGGTAGGAAATTTTGGTTTCTGTCCAAATTGGGAGAAATGGGCAAGAAACAATGAAGCTGCTCTGTATTTATCCTTTTTTTTACAATATGTGTTGATTGTATCAGTAGCTTTCTGAAGTGTGAAATAATCATAGGCATTTGGTTAATGAATTGTGTATTGTTGCTCTTCATTCACGGGATTTGCTCTCATATTAAGTTTGATGCTTCACTTAACAAATTCTGCTTTCTCTGTCTTTGATATGTTTTTGCCAAATTATTCCTGATTGTATCCATTAATCTTCAGTCACATTTGACAAAAACGAATTGCTCTGATATTCTAAAGTTACTGGGAATAATTAGATTTTTTTTGAGGACATGAAAGTTTAGGGAGACTAAGAGAGGCTAACATGGTTGATCATACTAGACTCTTATAATAAAGCAGTGCAAAATCCTCACACTAATGCAGGTTAAAGGAGAGCAAAGGGGAATGTTCCTCTGCATTGCTTCCTTGGGTATGCAAAAACATTGCTCTCTTCATCAGCATGTGTAAGAATCTTGTGGTACCTGTTCACCTTCTTCCTTCCTGTTTTCTCAAATCAGTGTGTACAAATGGGAAATTGCCACATGGAAAGAGCACTGGCTGGTAATCGCTGCAGCACTAGCAGGTCTTACAACTTCCTTTAGTTTTAAAGATTGCTGTATAACTTTAGAGATTGCTCTGGAGCTGTGATTTACCTCCACACCCCCAGGAGACTGTACTTCCTTCCCCAAGGTGCTTATCTTAATTGAATTTATTTTGTGAATTACTACATTTTATGAAACAGACAAGTAATTATTTGTTTTTGTGTGCCTGTGGCTGATCATCATCTCCTGATAATTCTGTTATTTCACAGTGCAATTACTAATGGTTCAGATGCACACACACGCATATGCTGGAGTTCAGAAGATATATCTGTTAAGTTAACAGTTTGGTACAAATTGTTGTGGTAGTTATGTGCACGGCTCTTCCCAGCACTAACACATAAGTCAGGCCGATTGCATGCGAAAAATATACCCGAGAGTTGTGGAGTCCAGCAGCAAAAGGCTGTTGGCAACTAATAGGACTGCCGTGCTGGACAGCATTCTGTCTCCATTTGGATGTTCTCAGAAGCGCATGATGGCAGTCACTTCCTGGTGTTTGTCCATAAAATTTGGTAATTGTCTCTGATTATGGCAATTTCATTTTCGCTGCATGTTGAAAGATCAATACATCAACTCTGAAGTTGCAATATATCATTAACATTTTCATTGACCAGTCAAGACCTCTTAGGGCCATACTAAATGAGGTACAGGAGATCTGTGATAGATCTTTCCTACGTTGATATTTTCCTTATTCAAGCCCATCCTTGTGCTGGTAACCATGAATGGGATTGTATGATGTTTCCTCTCTCCCCTCTGTGATAATAAGAACTTTAGGAGAAGGAATATAAATATGGACATGGCATATAAAGGATTAAATTTTCCCTTCTTCAGCCCCGGACCCCTGATCCATATCTCCTCTATTGTGACTGCTTTTTAGAATTCAGGAGCAGGGATGTATGAGGCATCCAGCTTGGGAATCTGTTGGGTTTCCTGGACTCAGCTGCTTGGACTTGGGTCTGTGTCACAATGGTCCTGAGGCCGAACTTGTGCTTAGCATGCCCTGCCCTGAGGAAGCTGTTTGGGGTGCTGCACTTTATGCGGAGGAAGGTTGGTAATGTGAAGCTCTCTAGGAATGGTGACTATTGCACAAGCAGCATCCCCCTCCTGTGCCACCTGCAGTAACCATTTGTGGTCCCAACACAGAAGAGGGTTGCTGGTTGCCCAGCCTTCTTTTCATGACTGTGTGTAGACTTCCTGTTGGCTCACCTCACTCTTCAAGGCCAGGCTGGGCACAAGAGGAAGTCTGCAAATGCTAGAGGGATGGATTCCACTAGGTCATGTCTGAATCCTAAACAGGAGATCATATTGTAGATATGATTCCCTGTCCCTGAGAATTCTAGCTTGTGGTGTTTATTATCATCCAAACGAGTGCCACAGAATTGTCTGCCATGGAAGTGTAAAGGATGGGACTCATGTTGCAACCATCATGGGGATGTTGCTGGAGCAGCCATATTCCTGGGGCCACTGCTGCTGGAAGCTCATGCTGAACCACACTTTAATCAATTCTGAACCTTGTGAATGGTGCAGGAGGCACCTGCTGTCTTTAGTACCCATACTGAGTGCCTGCACCTTCCCTTAAAATCAGCTCTAGGTCCCATTTAGGTTTCCCTACTTTGCTGCTTCACCTTCTCAGCAGGAAAATATGGGTCCCTCATTTCCTTCCTGAAGTAAAAAAGAAAATAATTCCAACTCGGAGGCTGGACTGAAGTAGAATTCTCTTTTGTGAGCCTACCTTTCGAGAGACGAGCTTGCCCCAACCTCAGCCTCAAAGCAGGAGGGCTAAGTAAACCTTTTCAGAAGCTTGTCTAGCCTGCTCCACTATCTGAAATGCTGTCAACCTAATAATGGTTGAAGAACGCAATATTTAGCAGCCCCTCTACCTCCTTTTCTTTGAGATCTCTTGTTTATTTTATCACTCTGGGGTTTAATTATGGAAGGAAACTAGGAAATGAATCAGTAATGTAGTGCACAAATTATTTACTTAAACGCTTATGGTTTTTTTTTTTTTTTTTTTTTTTTGCCAGGCTCACTAGCTGACTCATAGATGAAATAGGAATTCCCATATTTGTAGACTTATCCACAAATTTCTTGAATCTCTTTTCCCCATTGAGAATGTGTGTTTGTAATACTCTTAATCCTCAGCTAGGATTAGGTAAGAAAGAATTTAATGTTGCTCTTAACAGAATTAATATTTGTTAGTTTGTGATTATAACATTGTGGCTTTAAACTCCACATGCATTATATCACTGGTGTGCGAGACTTGTTTTAATATGAAAAAAAGCTTCCAATGCACAGTGTCTTAATTTAATAGAAGTTTTTTTTGGATTGGTTATACTCTGCATTGCATTACCAAGTATAATCTTTATTTGTGATGATAGGAGGTGAGAGAATAACAGAAATGCTCTAAAATATATTATATTTCAGTTTCCTATGATAAATAGTAAGAGCTCTTGACTGTTTTGTTTTTCTTGAGAATAATGAATAGTAATAGCTTCTTAATACTCATTTGTGCTAATAAGTCACCTGAGAGAGTGAATGTAGATCCCAGTTTCCAAATCATGGAATGTAGGTCTCTGTTGGATCAATAAATAAATAGTCCAATTTAGGATTGTTCCAATTTATAATACTTGGAAGTTGCCAAAATCCATTCTCATATCCACATTTTAAAAATAATAAAAGCTGAGCTTTTTGTTTTAAACAGAGGTGTATTACTTTAGTATAGGGCATTATTTTAGTAATGAAATGATCCACCTGAGTCCCATTTGCAGACCAAGCTCCTTCTGAATATCGTAAGAGCACAAGCTTTATGCTTGATTAGACCAAAGATCTATTTAATCCAGTGTTCTGTTCCCACAGAGGCCAGTTAGGTGGTTACAGGAAGTCCACAAGCAGGATTTGAGGGCAATAGCCTGCTCCTGTTGCCCTTTGTAGTCAGAGGCACAGAGTCTCAGATACTGGATAAACTGGCTGGGTTTACCATGTCCTTCACTCTGGGACATTCCCTGAACCTCCAGCTAATGCAGAAAGGGGAAATAATGAAGACAGCCCCTTTTTGCAACTCCTTTTTGGGGCATTTCCTGTAGTCTCCTGATAGCTGTCAAAAATTTCTGGCTGGAAGTGTGTGAGACAGAGTGTGGAAACACACTGAGAGAGGGTACTTCATTCATACGGTTCTCTTCTCTTCCCCCTCTGGAAGTGTCCCAAGGAGAAGGAGTACTGACAGGTGTAGGTTTAATACTTAAAACATAGAGAACTGTCTTGCTAAGGGGGAGCTGTAAAGCCCACCCACTTTTAGTGCATTTACCTTGCCACCCCCCCCATTTGTTAGTGTATTCCCATGACAACTATGTATTTGACAGCTGTCAGCTGCTTGCAATAAAGCCTATATGCAGTCTCAATTTGTTACTTGGGAGCCAAAGTAATAACAACAAAAATATGATCCCAGTTGCATTTCTTGGGATCTCAGGGTGCGAGGGAACACTGGAGAAAGGGGCTTCTCATGAAAGCAGAGCTGGGGGAGACAAGATGGATTGTGTTGCAGAGTACACTGGGATGCCAGCTGGAGGACTGAGAGAGAAGGGAGGGAGAACAGCTCATGGTGATCCTGATCACCTGCCGGGTGCACTGCAGGTTCTTCTACAACCTTATGCACGGTGAATTCATTATTCCTAGTAGCCTCAGCCTCCCTGAATCGATCTGTTCTACAACCATGTATGTTAATGGCCCTCGCTGCATCTTGTGGTAGTGAATGCTATCATTTAACTACGCACCCTGTGAAGAAGTATGTCACTCTGTCTATAGAAGCACCAGAAGATTACTTCCACTTAGAACTATGGTGCATACTTAATGTTCCCCATGCTTCTGGGTTCCCCTCCAAAAGCAGGCATGTATGATATGTGGGTAGAATGCCAATTTCGTATAAAGTATTGCAAAGTAAACACCAGAAGCAGACTGTAATGTGGTAATTAAAAACTTCTCATTTGCTGTGTTTCTTGCAAAGAATGATGGACTCGGTGGCCATTACTTTGTTCTGTCAAGGCAGTTGGATTCTTAAACAAGAAAGTAGTCAGGGTCATTCAGTGTAAGTTAGTCCTCGTATATGTTTTTGCTCTTTTAAGTTTACAAATCGCTGAACTCTGCAGGAAGAGAAAAAAAGCAAAAGTGGACTACACAATACTAAAGTCAGCCTACCTCTGAACTAATGGGGCAATAGGATAACCTTCCTACTTTCACTGGAATCAATTTCTTCTCTATGTATAGGCACATAAAGGGCAGGGGTGGTGGTGGGGAAGAACTCACGTTTTTCTTTCTTTGTTTTGCTACTTTTCAGTATGCAAAAAAGGATTTGAGGTGCCTTATAGGGTAACCGCTCTCTCTGTTTCTACTGTGAAGTGATGGGAATACATTTATTGATAGATTTTTGCTGCCTTTGATTTTTTGATATATAAATGCAGTGGTCACTTTGCTGAAAGCTTAAGCTAGGTGCCTTTTTGGTATGTTTTGGTAAAACAGCCTTAACTTAATTTTATTAAGTGAATAATCACTCATTACTGAAAGGTAACTTCAGTTTTTAATATTATTGTTTCTATTCCATATGCAGAAACACAATGAACTGTAATGGCCAAAAGCTGACATATTAGCATGTTCTTAATATGCCAGCCTACTGATTTTAAAATTTGGCTTCACCAATTTGACATATAAAGCTTTGCTTGATTTGGGGATCAAGTTGGTTATTTTTTTAGCTTTTAGAGTACAAAGAGCATTCATCTGAAGAAGGCTCCCAAAAGTTAAATAAGACAACAATTAAACAATTATTAATATAATCATTACAGCTGCTCGCACATTTAGTGATGTGAAATAGATGGGCAAACTGGAGTCATGCTTGACCCCTCTACCTCTTCTTTCCTGATGTAGCCCAAATTTAGTATATTATAGAGTGTCATCTTTTGTATATCTATTCAGAAGTAAATCCTAGTTCGTTCAGTGGGCTGTACTCTCAGGAATGTGCAGATAGGGCTCATTGTCTTAGCGTAGTCCCTGTGAAGTGATTTGTCCTTCTATGGTAGTAAGAAACAGAGGAATAAATCAGGGTTCCATTTGTTTACAGACTTCTAGGTGCATTTCACGCTTTTTCTTTAGCTATCTAGTACTTGTGTATATATTCTCCTGCAGTTGGCTGTGGTCATTTTCATGTATCACATTTCTAGAACCATTTCCCTGAAGAAGCTGCTACTTTTCATTGCCAAAGAGAAAAGGTGCCATGCACTTGGAATACAAATTTATCCATGTTCAGAGTAATTTTTCTTGTGATTGTCTCTACCCTAGAGAAGGGTCTTTAATGAATTACATACAAATTGTGTAATTTAAGAAGTTAATTTGGTTTTCTGGTTACGCAGGCCTAAAAACAGCCCTTGTAGAAAGAGATGATTTCTCATCTGGGACCAGCAGCAGAAGCACTAAATTGATCCATGGCGGAGTGAGATATCTTCAGAAGGCCATCATGAAGTTGGATTTAGACCAGGTAATTGTTTTATGATGGTAGCTGTAAAGAAAAAAAATGTCTCACTGAACTCCCTCCTCCTGATCTAATTAAATTTGTCCTCACATTTATGGTTTTTAATATACCCTTGGTTTTGAATGCATTCTTCTGTTGCTTGCCTCGTACATTGATCAAACCCTTCTGCATGCAGATTGAATTCAGAAAGAAATGACAGCAGTTAATATTTACATGATGCTAAATTTTAAATTGTGTAGCTTTAAAAAGAATTTTCTCAGAAACAAAAGCACGCTTTAAACATATTTTGATCCATTTGTGCAGCTTTGAAATCCTGGTGAGCAGAACTTGAGGAGACAAGTTGAGAACCTTAAGGGGTCTGTGTGGGAGAGAGGGTGAGAGTGAGTGAGAGAGTGAGAGTGAAGGAAAGAGAAAGGGGGCGGGGAGAGAGAGAGTGTATAACTCAGTGATAGTGAACCTTTTAGAGACTGAGTGCCCATACTGCAACCCAGAACCCACTTATTTATCATAAAGTGCCAACATTGCAGTAAAACCTGAATAGTGAGGTTTTAGTTCAGAAAAAAAAAA